TTATCGTGGTGCGCAGTGGATCACCAAAAGAAACGCGTGGGGGGCAGAAACAGGCAAACCGTCTAAGACATCCACACCATCTGAACGCGAACGGGCGAGTGTCATACCGCCTAGCGGCGCTTTTGTGGGGTGCCCAAATGCCGCGCGTGCTTTATCGCGGTGAGCAACGAATGGACCACCAGAAAAGTCTGAGTGAGTCTGAGTGAGGACGGGAGTGTCGGAGTGAGAGCGTCCGAATATGTATGAGTGCTTCTGCGTCCGAGGCTAATTCCCTGAGTGGGTCTAAATAATCTGGGTGCGTCTGAGTCTGAGTGAGTCTGAGTGAGGAAGTGATGTGGCTGAGTCTGCGTGAGGACAGTGAATCTGTGATGGACCCCGTGAAGAAGACTGGGTCTGTGATGGACCCCGTGATAAGGAGGAGAAGGAGGAAGGAGGTCCAGAGGCGTCTAAGTAATCACACGGATTTCATCTTAGGATACGGGGTATACAAATTACGCTGGACACGTGACTGGGAATAACTGGACGGGTGGACGGGCACAACCTTCGCGGCATACGATCGGGGGCGCCAGTCGTGGCAGAGTCTCCGGGTGCCAAACGTGGCAGCGATCAACATGCAGAGTGCCAGGAAGTATCAGGGGCCGCAGTGCAGTTGCGAGGTCGCGGCTGCGGGGCAGAGGGCGGGCTCCGCTGGGCCACAGGCATTGGGAGATCGACGGGAAGCTGCCCAGGGGACTGGACGTCGGCGGTGGGGAAGACGGGCAGCCGATGCCTCGCGAAACCAGGCCACGTACACACTGGCTCTCAGCGGCCGAGGCGCGGTGCAGGTCGGGTGCAAGCGCCGCTGCTTTCTCCGTACACCCCGCCCCGCCGGCTGAGTAGACCTCTGCACGTGCTCCGCGTTGCGCGAATGTCGCAAGCGAAACCAGGGCTAAACCTAAACGGTGTTTTTCGTTCTCGTTTTGTTCTCGTTTTCCCTCGCTTTTGTCTCAAACCCGCCTTCACCGCAAAACGAAGTCGAAACGAAAACGGCCCACGAAATCGCCAAAAATACCGTCTAGGTCCAGCCCTGAGCGAAACCAGCACGTAAGTAAGCACACTTAGTGGCTGGCTAAGTGTACACCCCGCCTCGCCGGCCGAGTAGACCTCTGCACGTGCTCCGTGGTGCGCGGATGTCGCAGGCGAAACCAGCACGTGAGCAAGTACGCTACACCAGAGAACAAAACCCAAACAGTGGATGGTTTTCGCTGAGGAGATCGACCGGGAACCCGGGAGCCCGGGGACCCAGAGCCCACCGAAATCGGCCCAGAACCCATCACCGGGAACCTGGGAACCCGGAACTGGGAACTCGAGAACCCAGCCTGCTACCAAAATCGGCAGGAAACTTTCGCCACATCTCTCAACTTCCGCTACAGGACCCCACTCAGTGCAAGCACTGATTGGGGAACTCCGTGGCTGGCCACGTGTCCGCCTGTGCGTGCTGGATGCCTCGGGCGGGGCGACTGCGTGCAGACTGGCACTGCAAGCGACGGGGGCGGGGTGCAAGTCCCCTGACCTTCCAGAGTGCTATGTTTTAGCACTGGAGACCTAACAACCTAAAAAGCTAAGCGAAACAGCCTAAAACCAAGACGTAGAATAGCTTTGGGATAGGTTTTCAAGTCGCGTGCTATTGTTTAGCCCTCCTGGAAGGTCAGGGTCCGGTGCGTCGCCGCGCCTCCCCCGGCAGGGGCGGGGGGACAGGGGCCGCGGAGCCTCTGCAAGGAAAGGCTGGGGGAGCCCGTGGAATTCCAAACCGAGGGGCGCCCACTCCGCCGCTCCCACCCCCCCTCTCCCAGCGCACCTAGCTCCACTGGGCCCCGAGAGCTCCGCGGCCCCCCCCTCCCACGCGGGGACTGGGGTCATTTCTGCAGATATATCGAACCAAACCGCCCAGATGCATTGTCCCTAGTGCAAAGACGGGATCCTCGATAAGGCCACGTATTCACTGTGTTATTAGGGTGGAGGGTTCTCTTATTCTCGGCGACAAGAAACGTCAATCACTGACGTGCAAAGATGGGTGGCGGGTAGGAGGGGCGGTCACCCAGCGAACCCAGACGTGCACACGCGCTGATAACGGTCTCGCAGCGTGCACCCAGCAGGCCCCCGTCGCAGGGCCGCCCCTGCCGGGCGGCTCGCGCACGGGCTCTCCGCCGGGCACACGGAGAGATCGGCAGGCGCTGGCCATCGCTCGGACGTCCATTCCCTGTGCTTTTTTCGGTTTCGTGCGTGGTTTTTTCGCCAAATGATCAAGGATGCTCCTCGATGGTCCTCGCCGAAGGAAAAATCCACACGTCCGAGCGATGCCAAGGTCCTTGGGATTCCTTCGCGGCGACAGGAACAATGATCTGCGAACCTTCGACAACTTCTCGCCTTCCTTTCTCGTCGGGCCCCCAGGCACTCCTCCACGAGCTGCCAGGGGGCCTCCGTGATGGATCGCCCACACGTGAAGCAGACATGTCAGATCAAGTGATACTCAGCCAGGAAACGGGTGGGGAGGCGGGGGGCGGGAGGAGGGGCGAGGGGAGGAGGGACGAAGATGGACGAACGAGGAGGGCGGGGCGAGGAGCCAACGACCGATGGACCAGCGGAGGGAGGCGCCCAGCGCTGCCCAACCGGGCCACCGACCGACCAGTAAAAAGCACCCCTCTCCCACGGCAGGTGCGACCGGCAGCTCCTCCGTCGACCGGTCGCTCCAGGTTCGCTGATGCTGCTGCTGGGCCTCTGGCGGCGCCCTGCCTTGGAACGCCTGCGGCGGGGCCGCCGGCGCGTCGATACGACACGGGAAGGGCCTCCTGCAAGGGGTCCGAGTAGATAGGGTCGGAGGTTCGCGCCGCATCGCCGATGCGTCGGCGATGCACTGGCGATGCATTGGCGACGCATTGGCGATGTATCGGCGACGTCGCCGTGAAGCGAATCGGGCCCCACGTCGAGCTGCATCGGAGAGAGATTGGCGATGCAGCGCGATCCTCCGACCCCATCTACTCCGACCCCATCTACTCCGAACCCATCAAGGGGGCCCCATCAAGTAGGTAAAAGCAGGAAGCAGGAAGGCGTATACAGCAGCTTGGGTCCAGGCCCTCCCAGGGAATCACAAAACACGGCAGAATCATATCGACGATTGAAAGCAGGAAGGCGCTCGAAAAAAAATTTGGGGTCTGGGCCAAAACTACCTACTGTCAACGACCAGCGTTCTGCAGGAGGAGGAGGAGGAGGAGGAGGAGGAGGAGGAGCAGGAGGAGGAGGAGGAGGGGGAGAGAGAGGAGGAGGAGGAGGAGGAGGAGGAGGAGGAGGAGGAGGAGGATGGAGGAGGAGGAGGAGGAGAGGAGGAGGAGGAGGAGGAGGAGGAGGAGGAGGAGGAGGAGGAGGAGGAGGAGGAGGAGGAGGAGGAGGGGGCGGCGCGAGGGGCGCCAGGAGAGCGGGCCCCACGGACAGCGGCGTGGCGCAGGGGGGAGGCTGGCCAGCAGCACCGAGGCTCCCGCGTCGAAGCCGTCCTCGGGGGCTCCCCGGGGGGGGGGGGGGGGGGGCGTTCTCCAGGGCACGCCCCTGGGGGGGGGGGGGGGGGGGGGCGTCCCTGACCTTCCAGGAGGGCTAAAAAATAGGAGGGCTAAAAAATAGCACCCGACCTAAAAGCCGATCCTAGAGCTATTATACGTCTTGGTTTTAGGCAGTTTCGCTCAGTTTTTTAAGTTTTTAGGCCTCCAGTGCTAAAAAAATAGCTCTCTGGAAGGTCAAGGGTCCTCCAGGGCACGCCCCGGGGGTGGGGGGGAGCGGGAGGCCAGGGCACGGCCGCCCCTCCGTCCCCCCCGGGCCGCGTCCAGCGTCCTCCTCCTGAAGCGTCGGCGGCAAGTCATGGGAGCCCTCCATACCCTCTCGTCGGCTCTTGCGGAGCGGCGCCCACGCCGCATCGACGCCAGCCGACGCCGGACCGACGCCAAATCGACGCTCACCGACGCCGAGTCGGCGGCAACTCCTCGACTCCCAGGCGCAAGTCGATGCTGACCAGCGCTAAAGGCAGACGCAAGAGGGTACACCATGCCCCCGTGACTTGCGATCTGAAGCCATACGGTAGAGGGAAACAATCAGTGAACACCCCCCCTGCCCCCCAAACTCAAGGTTGGCACGCGGGGGGGAGACTGCGGTCGAGGTGCAACTCATCAGACCCACCGCCAACTTTGAACATTGGGGGGAGGGGGAGGCGTTCACAGATGAATGTGGCATGAGTGTTCGCTATTTTTTCCGAGGCCTGCATCCCTCGCCTCCTCCGCCGCTTTGTGTCTCCAGCATGCCGCGGGAGGGAGCGCTCGCCGCGCGAGTGCGGGCTTGCTTGCGCGCGCGGGCCGCCGACGGCTCCCCCCGCAGCACAGCACGGGCAAAGCGATGGGACAGGCAGCGATGGGAAACTGCTGCGAACTCAAGGAGCACGTTCGCGGCGCTGCGGCGAGATCTAGGTCGGGCCTGTCCCCCTACAGGGGGATCTTGGATGAAAAAATAAAGATAGTCAAACAACACCCCAAAATGGTCAAAAAAAACAAGAACTCGTCCCCATATTATTTTGCGACTACTTTGGAATATTCCTCCTGCAGAGGGACAGGCCCGACTTAAGGCGAGGTCCACATTTACAAGCTGCAAACTGTTAATACACACTGTGCGCGGCGCTCAGCAGAGAGCCACATTTTGAAAACGATCCGGGCTCCATCCCTGCAGTTGAAGCCCCCGCCCCCTCTGGGGGTTCACCACCCGTCGTAGCCTTCTCGTTACACTCTGCAGTACTATCTTGTTCAGCCCCTCCCCCAGGGGCAAGGGGAGGGGATATAGCAGCATCCTTCGAGTAATTAGGGGACCGACTACAGACTTGATGTACCCCAGAATCGACTTGTCCGTAGAGTCGACGGAAGAGTCAATGTCGGGATAAAGCACTTCTGCAAAGTCGACACACTAGTTAGAGGCCTCCTAGATGAGGTCCGAGTAGATGGGCTCGAAGGGTCGCGCCGCATCTGCTCCGACCCCATCTACTCCGACCCCATCTGGGAGGCCTAGACTCATCGAATCCTTTCGAGGACTCACGCGCCAGCAGCGTCGGCATCCCGAGGCGCGGCGGCAACACCAAGGACGGGGAAACCAAAGGGTACCTGTACCGCTACTCCCCGGACCCCTCCCGGGGCGGGTTCTGACCGGGGTTTCGAGGCGAATCCAGCAGTGGCGACGAGGGCCTCCCAGGAGGCCCAACAAGGGGAAAGCAGGCGAGGGGGTAGATAGGGGAACAGAAGGTGACATAAACAAGCAAACTCGGAGGTCCGCGCGGATTTCTCGGATCGGCGCTGGACCCTCCTCCCTGGCGCGCGGAGCGCGCAAGGGGCGGCGCCGGAGGCGCCGCCGGGGGGCCCCAGCGCCGATCCGAGAAATCCGCGCGGACCTCCGAGTTTGTTTGGTTCTGCCACTTTTTGTTACACTAGAGTAGAAGTATGGGCACCCTCTCCTCCCCCGAACCCTGACCTTCCAGGAGGGCTACAAAAAATAGCACCCGACCTAAGAACCTATCCCAGAGCTCTTCTGTGTCCTGGTTTTAGGCTGTTCCGTTTCGTGTTTTAGGTTTTAGGCCTCCAGTGCTGAAACATAGCTCCCTGGAAGGTCAGGGAAAGGAGCCCCGTGCCCCCGGCGTCCTGGGCGCCGGGCGTGTCCTCGCGCGCCTCCAGCGCCTCCGGGGGCCGCGGGCGGGCGAGGGCCCGCCCGCGCGGCGGCGCCGCCGGGCGGGCGGAGGGCCCGCGGCGCGGCTCGGGGGGCGGGCGGGGCACAGCGAGCGGGCGGGCGTCCAAGCTCTGCGCAGGCAGTGCGCCGCGGCGCGGCAGAGGCAGCGCGCAGGCGCGTCCGGGCCTTTCAAATCACCAAAATCCGCCCAGAGGCCGGCAGGATCTTAATCTAAGATCGGGTAAGTAGCTTCTTATTTTCTACCATGTCTGATTTAAGAGAATAAGACCCTTACGTGAGATCATGCACATTACCTATTTTTGTTGTTTTTGTTCAGCATTCAAACTCATCACGGCCCCATCGCAACGTCCTGGACGGCCCCCTTCTAACCCCTCACGACCCATTCATAATCCCTTTCTATCCCCTCCTAACCGTTAGAGCCACCCCTGGGAGGCGGGAGACAGACGAGGGAATTGAACAGGAAAATCACAACAAACGAGTGCGATAATAATGATCAACGTTCTTATGGCGCCCGTCTTGCCAGTGCTGCCCCCATGCCGATGCTGCCTCCCATGCTGATCTTGCCCTTGATGCACCCCATGTTGATTTTGCCCTAGATGCCCCCCCTGTTGCCCTATAGTAGATGCCTCCCATGTTGATGCCGTAGATGCCCCCCATGTTTCGTCTTCGTCTTCGCCTCCTCTTCTCGCTCGCCTCTGTCTCCAGATCCCTGGTGGCTCGAGGGATGAGCGGGTCGCCAGAGGGCGGCCGCCACTACAAAGACATCCGCGAGTGGGTGGTCCGCGTCCCAATGGCGACGCGCGGGCCAACCCATCCCTGCCCCTTCTCCCTTTACTCCTCCTCCTCCTCCTCCTCCTCCTCCTCCTCCTCCTCCTCCTCCTCCTCCTCCTCTTCCCCCTCCTCCTCCTCCTCCTCCTCATCCTCCTCCTCTTCCTCCTTCTCCTCCTCCTCCTCCTCCTCCTCCTACGTCGCAGTCGTCGTCGTCGTCGTCGTCGTCGTCGTCGTCGTCGTCGTCGTCGTCGTCGTCGTCGTCGTCATCCCAGTCGTCGTCGTCGTCGTCGTCGTCGCAATCGTCGTCGTCGTCGTCGTCGTCGTCGTCGCCGTCGTCGTCGTCGTGGTATGCTGGCCTCCTCCTCATCCTCCTGCTGCCCCTCCTCCTCCTCCTCCTCCTCCTCCTCCTCCTCCTCCTCCACCTCCAAGGCAACCCTGACGGGCGTGGAGTCGCTCGTTGAGGCCCGCGGGCGCACATATAAATATGTAGTTATGTATGTGTACGCGCGATATGTATTTTAATGTGTAGCCACTTATAAATATACATAAAGTATAGTTTGATACATTCACGTATTTATGTGTGTATGTACTTATTTGTTTATTTAGTTGTATAGGGTTCACGGCGTACCGTTATACGTGTGTAGAGATGTTATAGTGCGTTTAAAAATCCATAGAACTGCGTGTGCAGGAGTAGGTTTGCCCCACGTCATTTTCATTCCGAAATCCGCCTGCAGGGGGACATGCCCGACTTGATCCCGCCGAGGTGTCGCCTTGTGGACGTGTGCGGGCGCTTCGTGGGGGCTCCGAGTGCGGGGGTGCGGGATGGGTCCGCAGAGGTTTCGCCTGGTGGGCGCCCGTGGGCGCACGTGGTGGGCGCCTTGCGCGCTGTACTGGGTGTGCCGAGTGGAGCACGCATGGGTGCAGTGTTGGGCCGATTTGGATCCGATTTGGACGCGTCCAAATCGGGCCCAAATCGAGCCCAAGTCGGATCCAGGGGTGGGGGGGATGTGGATGATGAGAACGATGAGGATGACGCTGATGATGATGAGGTGGATGGCGATCCTAATGATGAGGATGATGATGATGAGGATGATGATGATGAGCATGACGGTTGCACCGCACCTCCCTCCAGCACTGCCCCCCCCCGAAAGGCGGCAGTCGGCGCTGTCGAGGGCTCAGACACCGAGGTCGAGTCCAAGGGCGTCGACACCGAGGTCGAGTCCAAGGGCGTCGACACCATGGTGCAAGACGCCATGCAGGAGGCACGCGCGCGCTCCATGACGGAGCAGGCGATCCAGGACGCATTCGACGCCATGGATTTGGACCAGACGCTGCCATACCAGGAGGGCGCGGCTGCTGCGGTGCACCACCTGCGCGCCAAGGCGTCACCCGCCGAGGAGCAGCGCGCAGAGAAGCAGCCCGCCGAGGAGCAGCGCGCAGAGAAGCAGCCAGCCGAGGAGCAGCGCGCAGAGATGCAGCCAGCCGAGGAGCAGCGCGCAGAGATGCAGCCAGCCGCGGAGCGGCGCGCAGCGAAGATGCAGCCAGCCGAGGAGCAGCGCGCAGCGAAGATGCAGCCAGCCGAGGAGCGGCGCGCAGCGAAGATGCAGCCAGCCGAGGAGCCGAGGAGCAGCTTGCCGCCCCCGGCCGCCCCGAGTCCTGCGACGCCCCCTGGCCCGCCTCCGCCCACGCCCTCGGTGGAGCAGATCGATTCGGACGAGGACAGGAGGGCCAAACGGACAGCAACATGACCTGGTCGGGTGGTGGGCTCCTCACCCGAGGAGCCCATGACCACAGTGATTGTTGCGTTCGCTTGGTCTCCTCAGGAGCCGCTGCAAGCCATTGCCACCACTTCGCCGAGGTCGCGCCCGAGGTCAGCGAGCTGGGTGCCAGCGCCAGAGACGCCGCAGCTGGCGGACACGCCATCGTACAATCCAGCGGACTCGGGCTCGCAGCTGCCGCTCGGGCTCTCGCAGCAGACTTCGGACGAGCAGGAGACGCCAGTGCTGCCATCCTTCAAGCGGTCGCTGACAGACGATGTGCAAGTGGAGACCAAGAAGTCCAAAAGGTGGCAGAGTAATCGCCTCGTGAGCCCGCCATGCGTGGAGGAGCGCGTGCCAGCGCATCCGCGCTCGCAGCGGCCGCTCACGGCACCGCCGCAGCTGGTGGGCCAGCGCCTGCAGCAGCCAATCGAGAGCAGCCACATCAACAAGCAGCAGGCGATGACAGCGCCGAGCATCGACCAGATGGCGCGGGCACCTCTCGATGGCAACTGCGGCATCAGCAAGGAGCAGCTGGTGGAGAAGCTCAAGCAGAAGTTCGACGAGCTGGTCGCATCCGACACGGGTGCGGACTTGGACGAGATGGGCAAGACTTTCCAGGACTTCTACAAGGGCTCCTTGATCGTGCAGCTGCGCGCGATGCGCCCTGAGACCGCGGAGAAGCCTCTGGATGACGACTTCGGCGCCGACCCGAAGGAGTCGGCTCTTGACAGGGAGGAGCGCCTCATGTGGGAGTCCTTGGAGGAGAAGGCGTTCAAGTTCAGCACGGAGAAGAAGAAGGGCAACGCGATCGCGGGCAGATGGGCCAGAGTGATGGAGACATCGAACGAATGGTCTGAGAAGTACCTGGCGGCGGAGGGCTACCCAGCCAAGAAGGCGGTCCGCGAGGAGTGGGCGAAGTGGTCGTTCCACAGGTGGCAGAAGAAGCGGGAGTTCAGCAAGACGCAGACGAACATCAAGAAGCAGACGATGAAGGGCGTCTACATGCCGCTGGCCAGGCTGGCGTGGAAGTTTGGCGGGGGGTCCGCTGGTGCCAAGCTGGCATACACATATGCTGGGAAGGCAGTGCTAATGGGGGGCATCTTCACGAAGTGGTGCAACATGACGGACTGCCTTTTCTACCTCTACGTGGAGCACTCGTTGGAGGACACGTGGCAGCAGAGCTGGACCAGCCACGAGGTCTGGATGGAGTCGGGCTGCGCCGGCGGCCAGCCACCTCCTGGCGCCGATGGCGTGGCCAGCGTGCCATGCACTCCGCTGCCGCGCCCTGGTGCCGAGGCGTCCAGCGAGGAGAAGCAGGCAGCCGCAGCAGCGACGGGCGGCCCTGGGAACGAGGCCACCAGCGGCAAAGGAGGCGACGGCGAGGGCAACGGCAACAAGAAGAAGCTCGCCGTGAAGGCGCCCGAGTGGATGAAGGACTTCCGCAAGCTGCGCACAATGTTCGCGCAGTACACATCCCAGGCCCACGGGGGGGCACCGCTTTGATGGGGGAGAGCCAGGGCCGAGTGGCGACGGTGAGTTCGACGACGCCAGCGGCGCGATGATAACCGACGCAGCCGATGCGATGAGGATAGCGACGACAACGGGGAGTTGGGCCGAGAGGAGCGATGAGGCGGATGAGGGAAAGGTGGAGGAGGAGGATGAGGATCAGGATACGAATGAGAACAACGCGAAGTGCGGGGTGGGGGGACAAATGAGAGGTGGACGATACGTCATGTCGGAGCGGGCGGGGTGAGACGCAGGAGCAGGACGGGATGGCAACGTGACTGGAGTTATAAGAGAGAGAGAGAGAGAGAGAGGGAGAGAGAGAGAGAGAGAGAGCGAGAGAGAGAGAGAGACAGAGAGCGAGAGAGAGAGAGGGCGAACAAGAGAGAGAGCGAGAGAACGAAAGAGAGAGAGAGGGATAGAGAGAGAGAGAGAGATAGAGAGAAAGGTATGAACGATAATACAGAACGAGAGGGACGAGGAGGCGTGAATACGATGATGAGGAAGTGCATGGGCGAGGGCGGGGAGACGGGAAGCGGGCTGAGAGGGTGGGATGGGGCATATATTCATGGGGCGTGGTGGTCGAGCTTGGAGTCGGGAGCGATAGGCGCGCGATGGCGAGACGGAGAGTGATATGTGATAACAGCGAACATGTCGCGTGGAAGGGGAGGTGTCCACATTGGAGGCGCTGATCAAAGCGGACGCAGCTGAGGGCACGAACGAGTGGAAGTTCGCAGCAGGGAAGGAGACCAGGGGCGAGCTGGACAATGCTATCAAGCAGGTGCCCTGGGGGGATTGCGCACGTGCCCCGCCTCTCCTCGCCCCCTGCCATCCGGCCTCCCATCCATTCCCAGAGCAATAACGGCTAACCCCAACTATGTCCTCACCATTCCCGTTCATTTCCATCCAGGCATCAAACGGCGCCCCGAGAGGGTCTACAGTCAGCCTATACTGTT